AAATGTTCGTTTTTTTGTGATTCCTGGACTGTCATTTTGAGCACACCAATGCAAACTTCCAAGAATGTCCAAAATTTAGTATTTTGGGGTGTTTTTTTAACCTGTGCTTTAATTCTATGCTATTTAAGATCGAGAAAGGTTCACTTGCTCAAGAAATCGGTTTATTTGTTTGCAAATAAGCGAATAATTCGGATCACTTGTGGGTCAGTGGTGTCGTCACGGACTAGGTGTTTCAGAAAACACCATTATTTTTCAGTAGAATCACCACAGCTGGTTAAATCTTTTTGCTTTTCGTTGTTTACTCAATAGTTCAAAAGCCGTGATGCGTGAAAGGAACATCGGGTTCCTTTTGGTCGGCTGTTTAACATTCGCTGTTAATGGCGTCACTTTGTGACGTACCGGAAGCCCGAATTTTAGCCTACTTTTGTTTTGAACGGATCATCAACAGTGCCCGCATATAATTGTTTTCTTGAGTGACTTCCCCTTACCCGCTTCCCCAGAACAGGGGAAGCAACGGGGGAAAGAGAAAAACGAAAGTAGTCATTGCCGTCACCCTCCGGTTACGCACAAGAATCTTGCGTTGAATGTGACGTACTGGACTGTTTTGCGTGTTTTTAGGCTACCCTATTGAATATTTTAGGGAAATTGCGGAGTTTACATTGGATTCCTGGAACAAGAGTGTGATGTGCGAACAAACTTCGAGAGATGGATCATTTCTGTGGTTATAGATTTAGCTTTTGTGCTTAGTGATGACGTTTGGGGTGTCGTCATGCAGCCGTACAAGACTGACTGACGTACTAGAAATTACGTTAACTCTTCTGGGGGAAGAGCTTCTCGCTGTTTTGCTCAGTTGAAGAAGAAAAAGCTGTCTTAACTCTTTCAGCAGCCGATTACGTCGGACGTGCCGGGCAGGCCGCCGGGGTCACTCATTGTTCATTGTGTACTGTTGGTGTACAGCGAGCGCACCTGGAAACGTGTGTTTTCGCCATGAATACCGCGGGAGTGTGTTAACCAATGATGAAAATAACGCTCTATCCTTCATAGCTTTCTATTTATAAAGTGTTACAAACACATGAATAACCCCATCTCACAAGCTGATAAAACATTACGAGTAGTTACGCCCATTCGAATAACCTTTCTGTACGCTCTTGTTGTTATGAATGACCTGAGGTTCGAAAGGGGATAATTTAGGTCAATTTCCGAATTTTTTACACTCAAATTGTTCTTTGTACCTGCACAATGGTATTCAAAACTATCAAACAAGCTTACTTTTTATCAGGTAGTATCATTTCATACAAAATCAAGCTCATTTGAAATATATTTTGTATAGAAAAATGGAAGTCTTGTTTCCTGACTATCTTTTCGAGCTCTTCATGTCTAAGTGGGTCAATTTCTTCTATAATTTCATTGGACGAACATCTAGAGCTGCTCTACCAACTTGGCACGTTTTGAATGAGACGTATGCCTCGATTACGAACCAATGCAGGCGGTTCTAGAAGAAGGCCACAAACGCACACAAACTCAAGCAGACTGACGCACACACACTTGACCTGTGTGAATCATGGGGATCCGACTCGGGACCCAAAAGACACGTAAGAGGATGCGCGCTGCGCGTGCGCTGAGCCAGGAGCTACACTGATTCGGGACCAGAAAGTAGGCTAGGTGCCGAAATAGGCTTATCGGGCTACATAAACCCGGCTCACGCAGGATGGGCTATTTCTAGCAAAATGCCGCCGTCACTGTAGTGTCAACGAAAGTAACGGAGGTTGCTTAGGTTTGTGTGCCACTCTTTTGGGGTTGGATTTTAAAACAAAATTTCAAACGATTTTTCCGTGCACCAGTGCCCAAAAACTTTTACAAAACGGAAGGACTTCTGTAACGAGCGACCAGCCTAACAAACACAATACAGAAGAGACCTACCACCCTAACCCTGACCCCAACAAACTCTACCCCTACCTCAAACCGTTCCCCTATTCCCAACTTTACCCCAAACCCTACCCCTACAGGCTACTACTGCCTACTCCTAACCTAATTGATCTAGATAGATCTAGATCTAGGATCTAGATTTCTAGATCTGATCTAGATCTAGTTCTATATATATCTAGATCTAGATCTAGATTTATCTACTCAAGTTAGATTTCTCTGCTGTCTCATGATAGTGAGTGGTCGCTCTTTACGGAAGAATTTCCTTATAAGTTATCAAATACAAAATGACTTGACTTACAACAGGCATGTGGACCGCCAACTGCCAATACGACCACTCGTAACCAGAAATGTCTTATTAAATTGTTTTTGCTTTGCCGACTTTGCCTTTGTGTAGTGTGTACTTGTGGCTGTGGCGAATTTACCTGCTTCGATCTCATCTGGCTTGCCTTCCCTGGTCTGTGTCCGATGTAGGTAACGTCACTCCAGTCTGACTCGGCCATTTTGTACGTTAAATATTTTTCTTAGCTAATGTTATCTGTAAGGAGGGGAATACAGGTTTATGTCTTAGAACGATACTTCGGGATGAAACAGCAAAATATGTCGCTTTGTAAGAATGTTCGAGCTGCTAACTGGAGATGGTGCAACACTGTTGGTTGAGATGAGGTATACCGGAACTAGGTTTCAATGCTGCAAAATGCAAAGCTATTTTTGAAAAATGGATGAATATCATTGCTAGAATATATTAGACACTATTAAATGATAGTAAGTATGAAATACAAGTAAAATAATCATTATGAAGGCTCTAACAGAAGTCCACTATGACCTTATGTCGTAAAATTAACGAGGAGGATCAACGACCTTACAAAACATCTAGGCTATCTTGTAGCTTAAAGGGAGAAAACCGCACCCCTGAAGTACAGGCCCGGATGTTGCAACGACAGGGGAAATCATGGAGCCGTTGTTACCAATGTTTCCATTTTTACACTGAGATTATCACTTTCGATACATTTCCTCACATAATGATTATCAACTTGCTTATAAAAATTGATGTTTATGCATATTTTTTCTCATCTTAAAGTTCTTCACCGCTCAAACAAGTCTAAAATAAATATAGAATGATAGTACCACAAATCACCAAGGATTTAATCTTGCAAATCATCCATATTATTCTGACATGTTTTGCTAAAAGCAAAAGCCACACGAGTCGAAGTAGACTCAAAACTATTATCGGCACGTTAAAAAAATATTATTAAGAGGCAGAGGGAAAGAGAGAGAGAGAGAGAGAGAGAGAGAGAGAGAGAGAGAGAGAGAGAGAGAGAGAGAAGGAGAGAAAAAATGTTTTCAAGGGAGAAAATCCATCCTTCTTTGTCGAAGAATGTGGGTGGGTGGTTGGCGGGTGATCTGGTGTGGTTTGCTCCTTTCTTTCCTGTGGAAAATCTATCATCTCCATCTCCCCTCCTTCTTTTTTGTGTTTGTTAGTCTCTTGTAACACCTCTAATCTTCGGCACTTATATCAAAGACCGTGTTGTGGAGTATCTTTGCTTATACAAATGTATGACCTTATTGTGTTGCAAGTGCCGTAAAACTCTTACTAAAAAAAATAGAAGAACGTGGCAGCAACTGTATTCATTCTCCTTCAACTGTCACATTCTTCGGAAGAATAGATTAATAATGGATTTTCTCCCTTGAGAATTAACCTTTTTTTTTTTCTCCCTCTCTGAGAGTACCTTCGAAATCGCAATATGGCTGCCTGGAGGCAAGTGGCCGTACGAAGTATGAAAAAAACGGTATATAGTAAACTCACCACAAAAAAAAAAAAATCAATTGCACTGCAGGTTGAAGAACACCAGTCAAATTCCCCTGAGACCTTGCAGGGGAAAGTAAAAATGAAGGTTCCCCAACACACTCGCAAACAAAATATATTATAATGTAATCATATAAGATAAGATAAGATAAGACAATACTTTATTATCCTAGGTGTGGTGGGGGGAGGGGGGTTCTTTATATATCTATCTATATATATTATATTACTACTCTCATTACAATTTCTACTTGCTTTACTTTTACTTTTCTCTTCCACTTGTACCGGTGGATGTCACGGGGAGACACGGGCGTCTGTCTGCAGCAAGGCGAGTGGCCTGCAGGAGGGACATCCCGTGAGCTCTGAGGGTGTCTGCCACAGATTCACTCCACCGTCGCCTTGGTCTTCCTCTGGCTCTCCAGTCAGAATATTTAATGCTGTATGCTCTCAGAACTGGATGGTTTGAGGGCATCCGCGTGAGGTGTCCGAACCAATTGATCTTTTGTTTTTCAATGTGTGGTAGGACTGGTGTTGCTCCCACGGTGTCCCTTATGAATTCATTTTTTATTTGGTCTCTTCTTGTTTTGTTAACCGCTCTTCTTAAGCATTTCATCTCGCATGTGACCAGTTTCATCTTTAGGGCTTTTGTTATGGACCATGTCTGGCATTGATATGTGAGTGTTGGTGGGAAAATGGCGTTAATGAGCTTCACCTTTGTGCTCATGGGGAAATTGGGATGTTTCAGGAGAGGGCCGAGTTGATAGCTGACTGCGTTGGCTTTCTGGCATCTAGTCTCTATTTCTCTATCTAATTTTCCATTTTCTGTGAAAATGCTGCCCAAGTATTTGAATTCGCTGCTTTGTTTTAGTTGGGATCCATTGATGTTGATATCCACTTTGTCTTGTCCCCTGCTAATTGTCATGGCTTCGGTCTTGTCATATTTCTCACAGCTCGCATTTAGTTGGTTCATATGCTCCTGTAGTTGGGTTTTGTTGTTCATCATTGCCGGTTCGTCTGCAAACATGAGTTCGTTGAGTGCCTCTGGGTCTGGATTGGTCTCCTATGTAATCTGGTCCATGTAGATCACGAAGAACAGTGGGGAGAGATTGCAGCCTTGTCTGACTCCGGATGTTACTGGAAACCAGCCCGATGTTCCACTGGTAGTGCGGACTGCGCTTCTGCTGTTGGCATTTAAAATTTTTTTTTGGCGCTGCTCCTGCGGCGACAAGGTCGTGTTTACATCGGCTCTGCTTGTTTTGGGGCTCTTTTACTGTTTCTGTTTGGACTGTGTGTCTGAAACTTTCCTTATTCCACCATGGAGGTGCAGTGCAGTGTTCGGACTTTTAAGTGCATTTTTTGGTGTTTAATTTTATTGACATTTTCC